AGTAGATCTTTTTTTTCGATCAAGATTCCCGTTGGAAAATTTATTCAATCATCATCGATCATTTTCGTTGACAAAACAAAATTCACAAAAACAAAATTCGATTTAATAAACGTCAACAGACATGGCCGATTCATCGGCCACGATGAATACAATTTTCAAACACTCTCTCTCTCTCTCTCTCTCTCGAATGTTGATCAACGTTCGCGTTCGTTACGAGTAATTAGAGGGGGAGGGAAATTACGAGGTATCAATTATGCGAAGGATCGACAGACCGCCATAGTCTGGGACCGGAAACTCGATTAAACCCCTCGTCGTCTGGAGTCGCGACGAATTCGTCGGGAATAAATCCTTCCAATTAAATTCACTCTCCTCTCCGAATCGATACTTGGAACGCGTTGAAAAATGCATATCGCGCGATATTATCTATCTCTCTCCTTCGAAATAGAAAATCTATATCTCTCTCTTTCACGAGAGGAGGAATCGATTTTTATTTTTTTTTCAACGTTTAAATCTACAATGCGGAAAAAATTGTTGCTCATATTCGCAATGAAAACGTACGCGTCGATAATAATAAATCGATATTTTTATCCCCAAAATGAGAGACGGGGAAAATGGGTGACTGAGATCGTTTGTTGGATCGAAGGCCTTCCGGTTTCGGAGAAGGAGGAGGAGGTGGAAGAATGTGCTCGCGGAATCCAGGTTGAGTTTCGACTTCGTGAAAGTGTGCTTTTCTTTCTTGTGCCACAGAGAGAGAGAGAGAGAGAGAGAGAGAGAGAGAGAGAGAGAGAGATGAGATCGCACATTTTCTGCGGCGTCTGGCATTTTCTGGCGAGCGTCGAGACGCCACGAATGACGTCGATGTGAATTTTCCCGCGTTTTTTCTTAAGCGGCCACTTTTTAACCACTCGACTTTCGTGACGAATTAATTTTTCCTTTTCGGTGCAACGACGACGATTACGAAATACACGATGAAAGCGAGATTGGAGGCCTTTAATTTTTTAATTTACGCAAATATCGGAGGATCGATATACAATATCTTCGTTATACCGTAATTATTTCGTTGGAGAGTTTAATCGTTTCAACCCTCGATCATATCCTTGGAATAATAATTTACCCGCTGATTCCATTATTATATAATTCACCAATAATAACTTTGGAGGGAGGGAAAAAACTAATTACGAAATTAATACACAGGATTCATGTTAATATATTCATGGAAGGTATATATATATATATATTCACGAGGGTGGATATTTTATACAAAGTGATCCACGATAGATATTAAATATTTAATATGCGCGAATAAATTACACGAAATAATTTTAACACACATAGGTTGGACGACTGTTACAACCTATAATATACAATATCCGGCCTCGATTTAAACATAGATACTCGATACGTTGTTCGGACTCGAGTTAAGAAACAAACTCGATCATTGGCGAATTTATCCTCGACTCCCCGTGGGGATAAATAGATTACCGCCAAAAATAAACAGAAGCATCATCATCATCTTCCTCGAGAAATACGCTACGATCGAGCGAATGGTTACAATTACTCTCTTCACGCGCTAGAATCCATCAAAAAAGGGTTAATACTCGTAATATTGAAACAGAAAAAATTTGTTTCTCTCCATTGTCAACCTACGAGGGCCTGGGCGCGAAAGGGCCGGGAGCAACAGGTGCAGAATAAAGGCGTCGATCGATCGACGGCAGGGGGGCGCGGGCGTCGAAATGCGCGCGGATCGCGTCGCGTATGCCGGAGAGAAATCGGTGGAAATTGGGCCAGTCGGTCAATTGGAAGTAACGAACCCTCCGCCAACGTATTATTTCGAAAATGATCCACTCCTCTCTCGACAATTAACGCGGCGGCATATCTGTCTGCGCGGTTCTTCTTCACGCGATTAGAATCGCGTGCTGTAATTTGTTTCGCCTCTTTTTTACCGATGGTCGATAAGAAGTGTTATACAGATACATTTTTTTGCGAGGAAACGAAGAACACGTATCTCGATCAGAAATTTGGGAATAGGATATCGAAGGGTATGAACATTTATTAATCAACGAAGGAAGATAAAAAGAAATTCATTGAATATTAAAACATTTTCAGGGATGAACGCAATGAGTTTCGATTAAGCAAAGATTCACGCTTTTTGTTTCAAGATTAGATAAGAATTGTTCGAAAGAAATAAAAATCGATGCATCTCAAATATTTGGGATAACGAACGAAGACGAGGAGATTGCCAGGACGGTTTCGTTTTCTCTTTTGATCAATCCTAACGTTGATTTCGAGCCCATGGTGAAAATGGAGTTGACCGATGAAAGGAAAGGGGGGAAGGGAGAGGTGAAATTAGAGGAACTCGATTGGAAGAACGTGGCGCTGGGAATTGCGGCGCCATCGAGTTTATTGAGTTTAAGGATACGTCTTTGGAGAGTGGAGAAACGAATTTGTTGTCTGAGCTCGATCGAGAACTTTCGATTGTTTTTCCATTTCTTCTTGCACAATCAAATCTTTCCTTTCTGTTTCAGCCGATCAATTAATAAAATGATGCATCGTATGGTTCGTTCAAATTTCTAAAACCTAATCGAATTCGCGCGATTTACATGTATATATGTCCATCTTGGAATTGTACATTTTAACATTAAATGGTAGGAAATGGTTTCCTCGTGTAATCTCGCAACGTTCGATACATTATCATTAATTTCCATTGATCCCATTTTCGATCCTGCTAGTGTATCGAGAAGAAAGATTTCTTCTAAAAGAAGTTTCGTATATTTTAGAGAAAGAGAAAAAAAGATTAGATGAGTGGAAGATAATCGGAGGAACGTTCTCGAAGTCTAAAAGGAAAACGATAGAAAGCGCTGCATCGCATTTAAAAACCGCATCCCGCGAGCGAGCATCCGCGATTAGTAGCGAACTTTCACGTGTCCATTTGGAAATTTTCTCTCGCGTTTCGCGACCAGTCTGATCGTCGATCCTTCCTCCGACACTCGGACAAGAGAAAGAAAAATATCGTGATCGAATATTTTTAAATCCATAAAAATTCTCGATTTCGAACAATCTGCCCACCTTCTTGCATCTAATTAATATTCCGAAACTGAAAAATTCTTCTCTATCATCGCAGATTCGATGCAAAAAAGAAGAAGCCGTTTAATCCTTAAGACAAAGACACCCTCGACAAGATCCAAATCTCATCCATAGGATGAGAGAGTTTCGTCGTCCTCTCTATCGAAACGGTATTGGAAACGACTCTTTCAAACGACTTTAAAAGAACGAGAAAGAAAGCCTCCCCAACGAGGGTCTTCCATCAACGATGGGGGTTACTTAATTGAGGAGTAGTTTATCAGCGGCGCACGGGCTGCACTCCGCTCGATAAACCAGCGTCCTTAATTTCCAATTATCCTGGTTATTAAGGCCGGAGAGAAACTTTGCGGATGCTTCCTTTCACGTTATATACTCGCGGACTTGTTTATCGTCCCCTTTAATTGAGCCGGCACATCGCGAGGCACACTTTACGTTGCGCCTCTTCTTCTTCCTCCACGACCCCTCACGAAGGTCTCGTTCAGATAGATCTAGGATAAGTTCGTTTAATTAAGCATTAGATTCGAAACGTTCGTTTCGATTTCTGTTTCGAGTCGAAAATCGCGAGAAAATAAGGGAAGAATATTTTACGATCGAATGCAACAGAAATAATTATCGAGCAGATACGAATAAGAAGGAAATTATATTGCACGCGAACACCACGATTCAAGATCATTAAAAATATATATGAACAATTTTATGAAACGAGTTTTATAACGACAATTTTATGAAATGGAAGAAAATCGACTCCTTACTCCTTTTCGAATTCACCGCCGCGACGTAAAACAATTCCCTCGCTCGAGGAGGAAGGATTAAACACCGTTGTTTATGCGCATCGTCGGCGCGCGACTATTGCGCTCGTGACTATTGGACGCGTGCGCATGCGCGTGCATATTCACAGCCAGACACGTGGACGGATGCATAAGAGACGCGAGGTCAACGGCACGTTGGAAAACAAGCGGCGTATTGCACACGAGTTTCATTCCACCACTTTGATCGTATTATTGCACACGTATATCGCAATAGTGTGTACACGCGCGCGTGTGTCACGCGGTCGTCCAATATTATCGGGGCAATATTTCGATTGCTTCCTTTTTTTAACCCCTTGCCGCCGTGTCCTTTGTTCGCCGCGGCCCGGGAAATGCATCGAAAGTGTCGGAGTGGGGGGAGTGGTGGCGAAGGGGAGGGGAGGTAGAGAGATTGTTGCAGGCGAGTGGCAAGTCCGTTTTTATTTATGGCGCTGTTTGCTCCGAGTGCCTCTTTATTGGAACGTTTATCGGAGACCGCTTGTTCCCCTTCCCCTCTCCCCGGTTTATTTCTCGATCGTTTTGCTCTTCGCGCGCTCGATCGAATTCCCAGAAATTTGTTTCTAGCGGATTCCTTTTTTTTTCTAGGGGAAAATTGGAATACGCGTCGATTGAGGTTTCGACTCGAGGATGAGATGTACGTAAGAGGTTAGACGATAGAGGGAATTTCGGAGGATTACAATTTCTCGTTTTTAAATATTTACTTCAAAATTTTAATTAGAATGTTGGATTATTTTGTGCGCGTTGTTCGAAAATGAATTTCGAGACTATGCAAGAGGACAAAGTTCTTTGTAATTTTTTGAACTAATTCCAAATGGAATTGATTGTACGGATATACGATTATGATCAAGAAGATTTTATTATTTCTTTAGCAAGGTGTGAGTGAAGTTCTTAGAGAATTTTTAGATATTTGTTGGCTTACAGTATGAATCTTTTATCGAATTATAGAAACTGTTATTATTATCAGAGAGAACAATCATTTTAATTATACTTATATAATTCTATTATTACTATTAACATAAATTATTGCAAGTTTCTTGTCATATATATTCACTTGAAACATTAAAAAAGGGATACAATAAGATGGAAGACTCATTTTTTTCAATATACTTTCAGAAAAGATTTTCTAATTCGAAGAAAAAAAAAATCTACAAACTGTATCCTTCTCACGGACACGCATAAACTCCCACTCAGCAGCGACAAAGAAATAATGATCTTGTTTATTTACATCCTCCACCGTGATCCGTGCTCGTAGATCCACAAAAAGAGCATTAGGCTGGTAAGAGTAGGCGGAACGTCGGTTGATGAAAGGGGAAATTGGAGGGGATACACGAATAAAGAGAGAAAGAGATATTTTGATGGCGAGGGAAAAGGAAATGGAGAGAAGCAAAATTTTTCCTGGATGGTGAAACCGTCTTACGAACGACTTTTCTCATGCAAGCGATTTGCGACGATAGAGATGATCGCCTCACGAATAATATCGAAGATTTTATATTACAGGTTTTACTTTATATTATGCAGTACTCGAAATATTATTACTATAACGTAAACTTCGTCTAGAAAGTACAAATACAAGAATGAATATAAGAGATTCCTGACTTAACAGCTTACAATTACGAATGGAACTAACGTAAATATTTTATATATATCTTTTTATACATTGTATAAAAGATGTCGTATAATTTACATGGAATTTTGTATAATATAAAAAACTATAAGGGATAGATGGAGAAAGGTAAGTATAAAAATGGTAAGTATTTAGAATTAAGAAAACTGTTTAAAAAACGATAAATACACAAATGACAGTTGGATAAGGTAAGTATGGAAGGTAAGTATGAAAGGTAAGTATATAAATTTTGAGCCAAATTTTTATATTTGCAAATTTCTAAAAAAATTTCATGTACCACCAACATTATAATCTCCTAATAAAAAGTCGAGAATTTGGCTCAAAATTTCAAATTTTTGATAAATTTGCATGCAACCTCTTTTAAGCTTATGTATTCCTAATACAAAATTGAATTTCTAGCCAAAAGTATCCATGTGTACGAATCATTTGAAAAATTCCAAGAATTTGACGTCACTTCCAAGAACTGGTAAAATTCTTAGAAAAAGTTCCCGAACGACCTCCTATCAAGTTATGTGCTCCTGATACAAAATCGAATTTTCTGCCAAAGTTTTGGTTGTCCCAGCTACTTGGAAATTTCCAAGAATTTGACGTCACTTCCAAGAATTTTAGAGATTCCGGGAATTTGACGTCATTTCTTGGAAAAATTTCTCGAGCGACCTCCTATCATATCATGTTCTCCTAATACAAAATCGAATTTTTGGCCAAAGTCTTTTTCGCTTCAATTATTTGAAAAATTCCAGGAATTTGACGTCATTTCCAAGAATTTTAGAAATTCTAGGAATTTGATGTCATTTCCAAGAATTTTAGAAATTCTAGGAATTTGACGTCATTTCCAAGAATTTTAGAAATTCTCAGAAATTGACGTCATTTCTTGGAAAAATTTTTCGAACGACCTCCTATCGTATCATGTTCTCCTAATACAAAATCGAATTTTTGGACAAAAATTTTTCTTCGGCCAGGGAATTTCGATATTAATGTTTCTTGTTAAATATCTCGTTTATTCTTCATGATATTAAAAAATGCTTCGAATAAAAGTTGAATGGTTTCGAAAGGGCTATATTCTGGTGCCCTCAATTTTTTTGTAAGTCCACTAATAAAGAACTTATAAAGCGCAACTTTGTTTTTTTAAATGATATCATATAGCTTTTAATATACCAGTATACGCATCATGGCATCCTCTATAAATATGTACAGGACAACTTGTGATAAAAAACCATTAGTTTAAAAGATATTTAATTAAATTTAAATATCTTTTAAACTATAATTTTTTTGCTATGTATGCCTTAATACTTTTTTATAGAGAATGCCAAGATACATCAATTGGAATATTAAAAAGTGCGTACTTCTATTT